GCAGGGCGGCGCACGGCTAGGGCGGCCAGTAGCCGGGCTGCGCAAGCAGTAAGGTGGGCACGCAGACTGCAAGGGGGCGGCGGTCAGGCTGCAAAAGGGCGGCGAGCGGGCTGCCAGAGGGCGGCGCATGGTCTGCCTAGGGGCGGCGAGTGGGCCGCAAGGGGCGGCGAGCGGGCTGCAAGGGGCGGCGCGCAGGCTGCAAGAGGGCGGCTCGCGGGCTGCAAGGGGCGGCGAGCGGGCAGCAGGCGGGCGGCGGGCGGGCTGCAGGGGCGGCGAGCGGGCCGCAGGCGAGTGGCGAGCGGCCTGCCGGGGCTGCGAGCGGGCCGCAAGCGGGCGGCGAGCGGGCTGCAAGGGCGGCGAGCGGGCCGCAAGCAAGCGGCGAGCGGGCCGCAAGCGGGCGGCGAGCGGGCCGTAAGGGCGGCGAGCGGGCCGAAGGGCGACGAGCGGGCCGCAAGCGGGCGGCGAGCGGGGTGCAGAGGCGGCGCGCGGGCCGCAAGCGAGCGGCGAGCGGGCTGCAGGGGCGGCGAGCAGGCTGTAGGGGCGGCGCGCTAGCTGCAGGGGCGGCGCGCTGGCTGCAGGGGCGGCTCGCGGGCTGCTAAGGGCGGCACAGCGGCCAGCAGGGCGGCGCGTCGTTGGGGCAGGTTGACAGGGCAGCTAGTGGGGCAGCTCTTTGGTGGGCCCTAAAAAAAAAATTCGGTCATAGGGAAGGACCTGCTCTGAAACCATGTCAAACTATAGAACGAGAATGATTGGATTGAACAGAAGTACTAATCCTAATTGGGTTGTACCCTTTATGGGCTACCCCACTACAGCCTACACAAAGTAAGCACTATAACCGTTTTGACAAGAGTAGCAAAGAAGGATGGTTGCACTATAGAATTGCAAGTACAATAGTTGAGAAACATGCAAGGAGAGGTGCACCACAAGCAGGAAATCATTATGCCTACACTACAACTACAAGCAGTTATAAAATATGTAAACATATTTCGACACGCGGCGCTCGGTTTGCAGCGTGACGGATTTTCTCTTTCGCGGACTAAGGGCAGCTTGAGTTGTTTCCCCCACTCGGCAAGTCTGAGCTAGATCGGGCAGATCCACTCGAAAGTTTTTATTCAGCGCAGCCGGAATCAAGCCTTGTTTGTCGAGATTCCCGGGGCGGTGTTCAAGGACCCGCGAGTTGGGGCTCCGATTCCTGAAATAAGGGAGACAGGTGACAGTTTTGGTGGGACGTTCTTCCTAGACGTGGCTAATAACGAGGATGGAATGGCACGCCACTACACTCCTTGCACCAGTCCTCTCGGCAACAAAGCAATGATAATCTTAAGCCAGCGACGACATACAAGACATTCCGTTGGTGAAATCGACGGAACTCTTTTCGAGGAAATCAGTGAGAATGAGACAGAGGTGCAACCATCGCCACCACGTGTAGACTACAATTTAAGAAACACCAATTGCGAGGCTCGAGCTTTCCATAGAAGGGTATCTCCTAAGGCAAGCAAATGCCAACTCCACATGACGCAAGTACCGGTAATGAGGCAATTTATGCAGCAGGAGCAGCAAGAGCAGCAGCAGCAGCCGGAGCTGGAACAACCCAGGCAGCAGAACACTCGAGGCTTTCATCGTTCGCTTTCCGCCCAGTGCAATTAACTCACCAGCCCCCGTCTGTCAACCGACATGGACAACCAAGCAGCCATACCGGTAGGTGCACATCGCACGACCTGGTGCCCATTACTCAACTCCACTCCCTCGCCCTCCCCCTTCCTTTCCCATCCTCCACCCCAACATCCCCCCTGTTCTCCCCCATCCTCCCCATACCCTCCCCTCCCCTGGCCTTCCCAGCCCTCACTGCTCAGCTTCAACTCCAGCAACAACCCTCCATCTCAGCATCAGGAGCACCACTGACCCTAAGCACACTGACCCTCCACAGCCGGTGGTTCTGGGCCACTCGATTCCTCCGGATCCACCATCTCGAAAACAGAGCCGTCGATCTCATCACAGGGAGCAGTCGAGCCTCTCTGAAGCTGCCGCGGCTGGTGCTGCCTCGGAGCCATTTTCTTCCCTCCAAAAAGCTCTGCCTGCTCTTCATTCTCCCCACCCTCCGCCTCCTCCTCCTCCTCCCCACACCTCCGTTCTCTGTATGATGAGTATGACGGGGCTCCAGATAAACCGCTGAATTGCCGCAGCGCCACACGTCCACTGAGTTGCCTTAACTCCGGCAGCGGTTTCAAATTCTGAGCTGCTGCCACTGTGACTCCCCTTCTCCCCAAACCTGGGCCAGCACGGGCAGCGGTCCCAGTTTGTGAAAAATATTTTGTTTCGGTGTTGTTTTCCTGAGCGGGCGCATCTACACCGCTGAGAGACGCAGCTGCTTGCAGCAGGGACGGCTGTAGCGCGAACGCTTGTAGCGGGGACGGCTGTAGCGGGGACGAGCCAACCCGCCCCACTACCCGTCCGCCCCCTCGCCTCCGATTCGCCCCGCTTATCCCTCCTCCCGCGCTCTCACCGCTGACGTGGACGGACGAAGCTGACATGGCGCGCGGGAACATGCTCCGCGCGGCTCTTTGTCTCGGCGTCATCGCCCCGCCCCCGCCAAACCCAGAGCTCGGATTCCCACCAGCGGGAGAGGATGGGGGGGAGACAGCGGGTGCGTCCACACTATGCGCAGCAGAGGGTGCGCCCGCGCTAGGCGCAGCAGAGGGTGCGCAGGCGGTGCGGGACGCGGTCCGCGCGTTCCTCCCGCTCCCCCCAGACCCAGCGCATGAATGTGCGCCCCTGGGGGAGGGGGAGGGGGTACCCGCGGATGCGCTTTGGGAATGGGGGAAAGCAGCGACTGGTGTCGCAGCGGCAGCAGCTCCAGCAGCACCGCCATCAGTAGCAGCACAAGAAGCAGCAGAAGCAGGAGCAGGAGCAGCGGCAGCGGCAGCAGCAGAGGTAGCAGCAGCAGCATCGGTACCACCAGCAGCAACACCAGCAATGGACACAGTTTCCGAAGCTTCTGATAAGCTCAGTCTCGACTCGAATTCAGGCCTCCGATTCCTTCGCCGAGCCCTGTTCGATCTGGGAGTGGCGAGGCACGGGTAACTTTCGCCACTGCTGCTGCGCGAAGAGATCACAGGCGGCAGCCATGGCAGACGGGCCGAGTCGGCTCCATTAACGTCGTCCTTGTCCGTTACATAGTCACCGCTACTAAAACTCAATTTCAAGCGATTCCCGCTGCTCGTGCTACCGTTAGCAGTCGAAGGATCTGACGTCATTGATGTTGTGACGACGCTGCGACTGTTGCCGCTGTCGCACTCGTCGCCTTTTATCGTTCCCCAGCCAAAGCCTTCCACCATAATGCCGTGCGCGCCAGCCGCGACGGCCCAGCTTGATCGTCTCGAGGCGGATGCTGCAGCGCCGGACGCGGCGTTTCGCGGAGAAGGAGCGCCGAATGCAGGGGGGACTGGCGGAGCGGCGAGCGCAGAGCAGATTTGCTCCTCGCTGAGCCATGCGGGTCGCGATACGGAAGAGGCCCGACGGTGCTTCGACGCGCTGCGACGCGCCGGAGGATCAACAGGCTTAGTGAAGGAATCTCCTCCAATTTTTCGGCATTCGCCACTGTTTTCGCTGGCGTCGCCTCGACTTGCCTGTGAAATGGAAAATGCTGCGTCGCCGGTCTTGGCATGCTCTTCGGGAGGCTGAGTTGAATGACACGCATCGATTGTGCTCGTGGCCGGGACCGGATTCCCATCGTCTGGAATTTGTAACCGAGCGACATTGGGCCGTTTCATGGAAACGGAACCTAACGACGACATAAGGCAGGCAGATGGTGAAAAGTGAGATTGTAAGCTCAATGCGCGTGAAATAAAACTGAGAAAAAGCTCAGAAATCAGTCATTGATCGGTGAAACATAGGTCATAAGAGAAAGCGACGTCACGAGAATCCTGGCCAGGATGCTGTTTCAGAGTGTAAAACTTATGACCTAGAAATTGCGAACAACAGAGATTTCTGAAGGACGAGATTTGGGAAGTGGAAGGTTTCTAGGGAATGAAAGAAGAGCTGCTTGACGAAGGGGATAATTCTGGGTAAATACTCCGAGGACTGAAGCAGTGGCCTCGAAATGTGGAAGATTATTAGGAAACGACGGAAAATGCCCCAGAAATATGACCTGTTGAAGGGATGTTTCCGCAACTGGGATGAATCTGCCCGTCAAAGCTCGTCGAAAGTGTTTGCAACACACAGTTCGCCCACAGGCAGGGCAGTCCATGCCAGCTCTACAGTGCCCACTCGCAACTCGCAATTGCGGTCCGTCCACCCCAGCCAGCAATGCCAGGTCAAGAATGTACAGTGCTTGGACTCAGAAACGGCAGCGAATATGATTGGTGGAGGAGGAAACCCCCGAGTTGAGCGACAACTTGGAGCAGTTAATTAAATAGGGTTACGCGAAACAGAAAAAAAAAATGCGATTCAAAAATGGGGAAACAGCAGCAAGTGCTGAAGGAAAAAAATGATATTACCCTGGTCATTTCTCAACCTGGTACGTCTGTCGCTCAGCGCATCACATATACCGTAATACGGTACCACCTACTTCTGGCTCTCTATAAACCTACAAAGAAAGAACAGTAACTGGAGATAGAAGACGCATTTTCCTTTCTCATTGAGCCCCCTCTCCCACTTGCCTTGGCTTGCTGCTGCCACAACAATGCGCCAGGGCTCTTCGCAAACAAGCGCACACCCAAACTCATTATGTCCCGTGGCAGCTGCTTTGGAACGTGTGGAGCACTCGTCGGCTCCTGAAACGAGCCACAGATACAAAATATTTTTACAACATATTACAAAAGATGGATGCATTGAAGATAAACAATCACATATGAATAAAGTTGGATATAAAAAAAAGAAGCAGGAGGGGTTCGTGGAAGGTGGGGGATGGAGGGGGTCAGAGTAATATACATGCAATTCATGAATATCAATTGCATGAAATGCATGTAATTCATTACGTGCCTCACAGCACAAGTACTTACATGGCAGGCAATGGAGGTTGGATCTCGAAGAACACTCGGAGGAACCCAGCCCCGATTTGCCGAGCCTGCTGCAGCCCCGTTCCGAACCTGCAAGCCTTCTCTAGGTTCGGCAGCATCCGAGGCCAAGGCAGGCTCAGGAATTCCACTAATTTCCCGAAGCTCCCTCAATTCCTTGAGGAATCTCTTCTGCATGCGACAAACAGGAAAACGAGGGGGAGAAAAACCATCAAAATGCATCAGGCAAGCAGTGTTCCTGAATATGGGCCATCATAAGGATTACATGAGAAACAAGCAGTGGAGGGCACACTGAAGCATGCTGAAGAATTATTATATGCAAGATTGGCAATAGCATTCACAATGCATACACAAGCGATGCTCCTGTCAACGCACCGGAATGCTTGAAGGCACCTTTGCAGGTTTTTCTACAGTCCCTTCCACCGTGCGGTTACCACCACCACCACTCCTCTCCTCCCCTTCTGCCTCCTCCCCCTCTCCCTCCTGTTCACCCTCTTCATCCTTCTCTCCTGCTTCTCCTCTCGCTCCCTCTCCCGCCTTCCCTTTGCCCTCCTCCTGACCCTTTGCCGAGTCTGCACCTCCCGAACCCGCTCCCCCATAATCTCCATCCTCTTGAGCCGCATCATCGTCCGCGTCATCATCCACGTCATCCTCCTCCTCATCCACGTCAGCAGCCTGAAACTCCTCCCCCTCCTCCTGAACCCCCTCCTCCTCCTCATCCTCCCCCTCATCCTCAACTTCCTCAGTCCCCCCATTCCCCTCCTCCTGAACCTCCTGAGTGTCTTGAATCTCTTGAATCTGAGAACTCCCATATCCCTCCAGGTCAACTACCTGCCTGTAACTTGCTCTCCCATCTCCTCCCTCCCTCCTCCCCTTCTCTTCCACCACCACCACCTCTTCCCCACCGTCTGTGCTCCTCCTCCTCCCCCTCACTTCCATAACCTCCTCTTCCTCTTCCTCCCCTTCTCTATCCCTCATTTCAGTCACATCCTCTCCGCTCCCTTCTCCTGCCAGCTCAACAGAGGGCGTGGACATGTCAGCAGCAGCCCCACTCTCCAGGATCACTGGTTCCGCATCGTCAGCTTCGTCCAATGCCACGTCAGGATTATCAGATGCGAGCTCAGCACCATCCTCGTCATCAGAATCTGTATCCAGCTCGGTAGCCTCGTCACTAGAAGCTGCAGCATCACCAGGTGTGGTTGCAGCTGTAGCAGCTGCTGTAGCAGCAGCGATGGCACCAGTTGTAGCACCAGCAGCAACACCAGCTGTTTCACCCTCCTCCTCCTCCTCCTCCTCCTCCTCATCCTCCTCCTCCTCCCCCTCCTCCTCCTCATCTGTTTCCCCCTCCTCTTCTCTCTCACCTTCTTCCTGCTCAAAACCTCTCTTTTCCTCCTCTCCCTTCCCTCCTCCACCCTTCTCTTTCCCCAAACCCCCACCTTCACCCCTTTCTGCATCTTCATCATCCCTCTCTTCCTCCTCCCGCTCCTCCCGCTCGCTACTTTGACCTTTCACTCTCCGCTCTGACATACCTTCCGCGACCTTTTTTTCCTGCACCCCACCCTCCTCCCCCTCCTGCTCCGCACCCTCCTCCTCGCTCTCATTATCCCCTCCCTCCGACTCAGTTGCCTCTTCAGAATCCGTCTCTGCATCTGCTCGCCCCTCTCCATCTCCCCCCCGATCCGCACGCCTATCCCTGTCTTCCCCCCCATATGCACGCCTACCACCATCTCCACCCCCATCAGCACCTTCACTCCCATCTGTTTCCGTATCTGAAGGAGTGGTGGTGCCATCGCCCCCCTCCTTAGTCTCTTGTTCAATAAGCTTTAAACCCCTAACCTTCCTTCCCCTCCTCTCTCCCTTTCCCCCCCTCTCTTCCTCCTCCCTCTCCTCTTCTTCACTCTCCTCCTCCACCTTCGCCCTCCTCCTCCTCTTCTCCTCCTGCTCCCCTTCCTCCTCGTCTCCCCCTCCCATCCGCCTCCTCCTTCCCTTACTCCTCCTCACCCCATCCCCATCTTCCCCCCGTCCCTCCTCATCCCCTTCGCCCTTCTCTTCCTCTTCCTCTTCCTCTTCCTCCTCCTCCCTCCTCCTCTCCCGTTCCTCCTCTCTAGCCCTCTCCTCTTCCTCCTCTCTCCTCCTCTCCTCCTCCATCTCCCTCTTCTTTTGCAACTCCCGCTCCCTCCTCTCCTTCCTCCGCCACTGGTCAAGTTCCTTCTTGAAAATTTCCCTCCCAAATTCTAGGGTGCGCCTCTCTTTGCGACGAATCCCCTCACACACAACGCACGGGCACCCCTCTCTGTGAGACTGCGTGCCTCTGTGAGTTTTATAATAGAGAAACACGGGCGGAATTAATGGTAAGGAGTGGAAGAGAGGGGATGAGAAGAGAGAAGGGTCTCTCTTTCCGTCGAATCCCCTCACACACAACGCACGGGCACCCCTCTCTGTGAGACTGCGTGCCTCTGTGAGTTTGATAATAGAGAAACACGGGCGGAATTAATGGTAAGGAGTGGGAGGGGATGAGAAGCGAGAAGGGTCTCTCTTTCCGTCGAAACCCCTCACACACAACGCACGGGCACCCCTCTCTGTGAGACTGCGTGCCTCTGTGAGTTTGATAATAGAGAAACACGGGCGGAATTAATGGTAAGGAGTGGAAGAGAGGGGATGAGAAGAGAGAAGGGTCTCTCTTTCCGTCGAATCCCCTCACACACAACGCACGGACACCCCTCCCTGTGGGATTGCGTGCCTCTGTGATTTTGAAAGCAGAGAGATACGGGAGGAGTGGAAGAGAGGGGATGAGAGAAAAACCTCGCCTTGCGTTGAATTCCCTCACACACAACGTACGGGCACCACCCCTCTCTGTGAGACTGCGTGCCGCTGTAAGAATGTTACGGGAGGGAAACGAGAGAGCGGGAACTTTATGGGGAGTGGGTGTGACAGCAAAACCCCTCAGGTCACTAACTGAAAATCAACTTGTCGTTGGGGAAAATATACTAAATATACTATATATATATATATATATATATATAAAACAAGCAGCAATCACTCACTTCATGTTCGGTGCCGGCCAGCAATGCTGCTGCTGCTGGTGACAACGTTGGGCCTACTCCTTTCTCTCTCGCTGCTCTGTGGGTCGACTAAAAAACCGGAAACAAGCACTCACTTCTTCTTTGGGGCTGGCGATGCTGCTGCTGGTGACGGTGTCACCCCTCCTTCTCCCCCCTCTCTGGGACTTGCAGCTGGCCTCCTCCCCCTCCTCTTCCTAACCACAGACCCCCCTCCCCCCTCTCCCTCCATCCCCTCCTCTCCGTCATTGCTCGCATCAGCAGCCCGTTTGCCTCGCCTTCTCCTCTTGGCCTCTCCACCACCTCCCCTACCTCCCCTAGACCCCTTTCCACCCCTCCCACCTCTCCCACCCTTCCCCCTTGTTCCGCGTTCTTCTGCCTCCTCGTCCTCCTCTTTTTCCTCTCCCTCATTTGCGGTATCCCCCACTCCACGTCTCACCTTATTCCCCTTCCCACGACGCCTCTCGACGTAGTTCTCCTCCTTTCCATCCTCCCCATCCTCCCCATCCTCTTCCTCCTCTCTTTTTCTTCCCTCCTTCTTACCCTGCGCCCGCCCCCCACCTCCCCTTCCTCCTACACTCTCTCGCTCCCCCCCACTCGACTCTCCACTCCCTTCCTCTTCGCTCCCCCTCTCCTCCTCTCCACTGTCCTCCTTATTGGCATCCTCGCTGTTACCATCCCTTCCTTCCTCACCTGCAAACACCCTATCCCCCCTCTCCGCTCCCCTCAGCCTTGGCTCTCTTCTCCTCCCCTTCACTTCCAAATCCTCCCCCTCTCCATTCCCATCCTCCTCTCTGCTCTTCCCCCTCCTATCCCTCCTCAAACCCGCCAATTCCTGCCTTCCTCCCTCTCTCCTCCCGTCACCCCCCCTCTCTCCTCTCCCTTCCGCTCCTTCCCCCGCTTTCACGCTCGGTCTACGCTTCCGCCTAACCGGCTCCCCATGCGCAACCCCGTCTTCGCTTTCCCCCGATACGTCGCCTTCCGGGCTTTCCAGGCCCCCCGATTTTACTTTTCCCCTGAACAGCGGTCTCCGCTCTCTCCCCCCTCCGCCGCTGCCGCCCCCGCCGCCATGAATGTCCCCGCCGTTCGTTCCGCCGCCGTTTCGGCTCCGCTTCGTTCTCTGCCTTTTACGCGGGACGAATAAGGCTTGACCACCGTCATCCTCTCCGTCCCCCCCTTCGTACGCCTCTGGCGAGTCTTCGTTATAGTCACCGTAAGATCGCTCCGGAGTTCCCGTTATTGTCACGCCCGCTCTTCTCTTCCTCTTACGCGGCATTATCTCCATAGACTCGGTGTCGTCTCGCCCTGACGGAGATTTTCTCACTTCTGCCGAGCCGTTCCCGCTATTATCCTCGTCTTCGTACGTGTCACCTATATGCGTTTCATCTCCTTGATGCGTTTCATCTCCCTCGGAGCCCTCATCGATGCTCCGATCCGAACCTTCAGCCGACGCGGTATTCTCCTCACCTTCGCCGCTGGACGAGTAATCCGCGGGACCGACGCGCGGCACGCGTGCGCGAACAATCTGATCCTTCGCCAAGCTCGCAACCGGAGTCATTCGCAACCTTGCCATGTTCAACCCTTGATCGTCACGCAAGAGAAAAGAACAACAACAAAAGACGAAAACTTCTGCTGCCGTAACCGTAAATTGATCGTCCACCAGCGTTGTGCCTACCTGACCAATCAGCAGAAAATAAAACTCCACCAGGTTACTACTAGCGTTCAGTTGTGTGTGAGAATTGCGAAAATAAAGCAATAAATTGCATTCAACAAGCATTATGATCGCGCGGGTTGTCGAGTCACTCCTAAGCGAGCACAATGAGTCAAGAAGCTTTTGGTTTGACGAAGTCTCGGAAAATCTTAGCTAAGTGCCAACACTGCTGGGGTCTCGAAAGACACAGAGGAATAGAGAAGTCAAAATGTTTTTTTTCCAGTTCTGCAAGAAGCACCCCGCCTCAACCTGCCTTGCACGTCAGCTTTCCCGCCAGAACTGGGAGTGAGGACCTGCTCTGGCAGTGGCTGACCTTGAGAATTCCGAGAAGCCTGGCAAAATCAAAGATCCGCCGTGCCTGCCTGCTTCAGGTATGGCTTATGTTCAGTCTAAACGGTTGAGTACGTTATTGTGCAACTTGGTTTGGCAAAAGTTTTACCGCTTTGAACCGCTTCTGAACCTTTTAGACCTCGATACACCGACACTTCCGAAAATTCCTTCTTCACTGAACTGCACTTCCCACTTTTCTCATGTCTTCAGACAGCATACCTGTTCCGTGTGTGTGTATCTGGGACAAGCTATTTTATGCTTTGTTTCTGAGATTTCCAGGTGCATGTGTCAGGAATTTGACCAGGCATAAGAGGTGCATTCAGGCATCCTGGGCTACCGTGTCTTACCGTCGCGTAACTTGTTGCTAATTCTTCGCGGTTTTCAGCCGATTAATACCGTTTCAGATTAAGATTCAGACTCACAGGAACCCGACGCCATCCGTTAGTCTCGGCGAAGACACTCTGCAAAATCTAGGCCGTTCTTGGTCTTCCATTTCCTTTTATTCTTCTGGTCGCAAATTATGGCTCACAAGGCAGATGACGAGTACGATTACCTTTTCAAAGTCGTGCTGATTGGAGATTCTGGCGTAGGAAAGTCCAATCTTCTTTCTCGATTCACCCGCAACGAGTTCTGTTTAGAGTCAAAATCCACGATCGGCGTTGAGTTCGCAACGAGAAGTATCCAGGTGTGTATTAAGTCAAAGTGAGGTGGTGCTTACCTGTTCCATATTCTCCATCCATCTCGCAGAATCATATAATTCCTGAATATTGTTCAAAACCGTTCGATTACTAGTGTGTTTGCTGATCGTACCGTCCTGAATCATTCAGGTTGATGGCAAGACGATCAAGGCTCAGATCTGGGATACCGCTGGCCAAGAGAGGTATCGTGCCATCACAAGTGCGTACTACAGGGGAGCGGTCGGCGCGTTGATCATTTACGACATCACGAAGCACGTGACCTACGAAAACGTCGAGAGATGGCTCAAGGAGCTGCGGGATCACGCGGACTCCAACATTGTGATAATGCTGGTGGGGAACAAGTCGGATTTGAGGCATCTACGTGCTGTTTCGACGGACGACGCTCAAGGATTCGCTGGTAGGTTGTTTTTTATCTTAGCAGATTCCACTTAACAATTTCTAGCATTTTTTTCATTTTGATGGGGAAAGGGTCAGATAAGAAGCATCTACGTTCTGTTTCGACCGACAACGCTCAAATATTCGATGGTACGTGGTCTCTCGCCTAGCAGATTCCAGCATTGTGATCATGTATGCTGGAGTGAGCCGGATTTGAGGCGCTTTTTCCTCCGACGACGCTTAAGGAATCATTGGTAGGTGATCTCTCTCTCTTAAGTACTTTATGACATTGTGATTACTCTGGTTGGATAAAGTCGAATCCGAGGCATCTACGCACAATCTTGACTGATGATGCCCGAGGGCTTGTTTGTACGCGGTTTTTCCGCTCTCTAGCATGCTCCCCCCTCTCCACTCTGTATCGCATTCTCTCCCTTCCTCCCTTCTCTCTCTCTCTCTCACGGTCTGCACCATACGCACACACACTCTCGTGCGCGCACGCTCAAACACGTACACACCCCACAAACACACCACACTCATACACTCTCACGTGCATACGGACACACAACAGACACGCATACCCGCACATACTGCACCTGCACACGCAGCAGCACCCTTTCAGTGCGTATGCGTGCACCACGCACGCTCTTGGGCTCAGGTACCACATCAAACCCATGGTACAGAATTCTTGTATTCGCAAGTGAAACTCTAAACTTGTTGTGAAGAAGGAGCCTCATTTTCATGTGTTGACAGGGATGTGTACTGTGCAGTGGCTAACACCCCGTTTTCTTCATCCCCTGATCTTCACAGGTTTCAAATAAGGAAGGCCTCTCATGTATGAGACATCGGCTCTCAAATTTAACTAATTTGGAGAACAAATTCCACTGGGTGCTGACAGAGACCTTCTTGGTTGTGCAATAGCCATTACCCGTATCTAACACCCGTTTTCTCCCTTTGCTCCACAATTTGCAGAGAAGGAAGGCCTCTCATTCATTGAGATATCGGCGCTGGTTTCAACAAATGTGAAGAATGCAGTTCACTGAGTGCTGACAGAGATGTCTAATGTGCATTGTGGGCAATGTGCAGAATCCAATACCCCTTTTTCCTTTGCCCCCTTCCCCACTCAATCTGCAGAGAAAGAAGGCCTCTCATTCATCGAGACATCAGCGCTGGATTCGACAAATGTGGAGAATGCATTTCACCGGGTGCTGACGGAGATCTACCGCATTGTGAGCAAGAAGGCGCTGGCGCAAGAAGAGGGTGCGACTGCAGGGCCCGGAGAAGGTACCTCTATCTTGGTGGGAGCAGATGCCAACGCCAACAAGGGGGGGTGCTGTTCAGCTTAGAATGCTGTTGGCGAAGTGGTGTACTGCTACGTTTTTTTGTAGTATGTCAGTTTGTAAAATTTGAGGTTTCCTGTAGGAGTTACTCTTAGAATGGTGGATATACTGGTATTGCTGTTTAGATGACTCGTGTATGTATGCCCATACCCCATGGAGACACTAGCTGGTGAAGACAAGTCTGCCATTGCCACCGGTATCAGTGTATGGAATTTTGCACTCAAATCAATGGCGTCTTTATTGTTGGGCTGAGAAAAAGCCCTTAGGATCTTTCAAGGCTAAGATCAGTATTGAAGTAGAGATATTGTGACACGACTCTCCGAGGAGTGTGCAGTGCAGTCGTCATACCGCCACGGTAGGCGATACCCCGACACAATGACCGACAAGATGAAGCGACTCGTGCACCAGGAGTTCCACCATGTGGAACGTTCCCGCAAGCGTCCTCGCATGTGTCGCACATCACCTTGTGCCTTGATGTGTGGCATGAAGCCAAATTCTGGAGGGGGATGGGTAAGATCACGCACGGGATTAGATTAGCATGTTATATGATTATCTAGTCATATTAAACGCAACGTGTTGTGGGGAGATACCATCCTATGACCATGGCAGACGTGTAGGGCGCACATGCCCACCCATGTGTCACCAAATTGTAGAATCCATCGTCTCTTTCAATCGGTCTCTCTCTCCTATTTCTTCTCTCTGTTTGTCTCTTTCCCTTTTCTCTTTTCTCTGATTGTGTCTCTCTCCCCCCCTTTTTTTGGTTTTTCAAGAGCGAAGTTTAGGGGCGTAATGCATAATCACGCTCTCAGTTATGATAATCTTCTTATTTGTCTGTTCGTTTGTTGATTTTTTTTTTTTTTTTGCATGATCTCTTTTAAAATAAACAACTCTTGACATTGATGTATATCGGGAATGTTTCGATCGACGGGTAAGTCCAAATAGTCTTTATAATAAAGAAAACAACCAAACACAAATCTTAAACAATCTTAGAAGGTTGGTTGGCCCCTTGGCCCCGCTGCGGACAATCGGCTATTCCGTGACCGGGCTCTCGGCAATAGAAGCAACGCCCATCGCCATCCCTACGCCAGGTCCAATGGCGTTCCCCTTGGCCTCGATTACGAGGTGCAGGGCTTGGACGGGAAGTGGATGTGGGCCCGCGTGGCCTTTTTTTGCTGGCCGCCACAATCTGGGTGGCGGCCTTAACGTTTTTATCTTCCACCACCTCGCCGTACTTAATCTTTAAAGCCATGTTGGCTACTTCAAAACCGCGCTGATCCGGGGTAAATAAGAAATGAATCTTTTCTTCAGCCTCGTCAATGATTTGCTGAAGGTAATCAGCGAGTTGCTCGCCACCGTGGGAAGGTAAAATCGAGAAGGCATGACGAGCGATAGCTTGAATGCGTTCAAAGCTAAAAAATTGAGTACGAATGCCGTCGCTTTTGACGAGTGAGGAGCGTAATTGAGGACGTGCAGGAGGTATGGGGGCAAGACTAATGGTTGCTGGATTGGCCTTGAGACGAGTGGTATTACCTTCGTCGAGGTTCTCAACGTTGTCGTGGTCGTCGTCGTCGTCACCCTCGGGATTAAGAGGAGGAGGGGGAGCGCGGGGACGGGCTGCTGCTGCTGCGGCAGCTGGACGAACAGGATCAGCTGTTGCTGCGGCTTCACCGTTGTTGCCGCGCTGAAGCGCCGCGAGAAGGCCGATCACGTGGCCGATTGCGTCGTTATTATTTGCTGCCGCTCCGGTGTTGTTTCCAGTGTAGCGCGCCGAATAATTCTCGGGTACACGGCGCCCTGTAGAAGCGCTGGATCGCGCCATAACGCGTTCGCCGCCAGTTTCAGTGAACATTCGCCTCAGATTCTGCTGGCTGGCGGGGTCAAGGCGAGCAATGATTTCAGCGATTTCGGCAATCCCAGCTGCCGGATTCTGCGGATCTCGCTGCTCGCCCTGATTCGCGCGCCGATTTGAAGAATCGGGGCGGTGATCCTCGCGTGCTGGCTCCCGAATCTGACGCTCGCCACGCGCAGGATCCCGCTCGCGACTTGCACGTGCAGAATCGCGGTCGCGATCTGCACGTGCAGAATCTCGCTGATTGCGATCTGCACGTGCAGAATCGCGATGATTGCGATCTGCTTGTGCAGGACCGCGATCATTGCGGTCTTGTGCTTGGATTGCAGGACCCTGGCGCGCGGGGGCGTTTTCGCCTGGCTGAGGCGGGTCGTTGGTTGCACGTGCCGCTCGCCCCTCGACATGAAATCCGGGGGGCCCACGCTCGTTACCAGGTCCGTCGGCGACGACATTAGGTGCAGAAGGAGGAGGCTGTCTCGCGCCATTCAACAGGTCCAGCGCGGTCAATGTTGCGTTTCCGCCATTTGGACGTGGCGATCTTGAGCGATCGCGGGAGGAAGATGCGCGATCCTCATCTCTTGGCGGGGAAGCACGCCTTCCGCTGCTGCGCGTAACCATTCGTGGAGCGGGGGGTCGGCCGGTTACTGCGGAAACAAAGCCAGACGCCATGGTTGAAAACCTGACGTTGATCACGTCGTTGATTAAAGTGCTCCTATGCCCAACTCTAGGCATAGGAGGGGTTTAGGGAGTGTGCTGGTGGTAAGCAAATTGGAGATCTGAAAATGCAAATGAGACTAGGTGGCAGGTCTGAGAGACCTGCGGGAATTGAAAGGAGTTTGTCTCCTTTACAGCAAACTCCTCTTCTAGTCGAATCACAATCTTCAATTTTTTAGAAGTTTAACTTTAAAATTTTTACATGTTGTAATTGCGGAAGCGTTAATATAAGAATTGCTTGAACCACCTTGTACAGGTGTGTGAGAACAAGATAAGTTGATTAGCACGGAAATACAAGGGTTTTATATGATTACAAAGGAATATGAAAGGTTATACTTGCTGATACAGTGCCGACTCGGGTAACTGCTCAGTAACGAATCAGTTAGTATGTGTCCTTGCCGTCGCACTGTACTTTTCGTCAAGTCAAAGTTCAGCGAACTTTGACATTCGCGTAACATCCAGCGGTTGCTTTTGTTGACTCGTGTGTTTCTTCGCTGTAGTCTGCTCCGTTTCGTGTTGATACTTCGATACTTCATAAGCGTTTAAATTACTTGTTTCCAACATTTATGAATAATTAACATACGGTAATCCAATGATCCAATCTTAAATTGTTCAGAAATTGTATTATCTTTCAAACCCATCCCCAGTGAGTTCTCTTTTCACACACAGCAGCAGAGGTGGCCTCGCTACGGACCAATGAATTGCCGGCACTGCTCTACCGGACTCGTTGTGTCTGTCAAACATATGTATATCTATGTTATAGTTTGGGTAGGCTTAGTGGGGTACACACTGTGGGGTACAACCCCTTAGGTTCATTTTTCTTTGTACCAACCCCCTCGATAGTCGACATCACTTTAGCCTACGATTATGACATGGTATCAGAGCATAGGTCCTTAGGACCTAGGATTAGGGCCCACCACGCCTGCCTGCCTACGCGCGCCTTGGCTGCCCGCGCGCGCCTTGGGCGGTCCTTTTTTTTTCCCACGTGCGCAGCTTTTGCAGCCCGCGTAGCCCATTTCGGCCCCGCCTGTGCGCCCCTTAGGCCGCCCGCGCGCAACCTAGTTAGGCCACGCCAGCGCGGCCCGTCGCCCAGCGTAGCCCGTAGCTTCGCGACCAGCCCGCAGCCGCGCACGTGCGGCCCGTCGCCCAGCGCAGCCCGCAGCCTCACGCAAATTGCAGCCGCGCACGCTGCCTGTCGCCACGCACAGCCCGCAGCTGCAAGCAGCCCACAGCCCACGCAGCTCGTCGCCGCACGCAGCCTGCGGCCGCGCGCGCTGCCCGTAGCCACACGCAGCCTGCAGCCTCGTGCAGCAAGCCGCCACACGCAGCCAGCAGCCTCACGCAGCCCTCAGGCCGCTCCTGCCTGCTTCCTGCTGCCTGCCTGCTGCTTGCTGCCTGCTGCCGCCTGCCTGCTTGCTGCCTGCTGCCGCCTGCCTGCCACCTGCCTGCCTACCTGCTTGCTGCCTGCTGCTGCCTGCCTGCTGCCTGCCTGCTACTTGCTGCCTGCTGCCGCCTGCCTGTAGCCTGCCTGCTGCCTGCCTGCTGCCTGCCTGCTGCTTGCTGACTGCTGCCGCCTGCCTGCTTGCTGCCTGCTGCCGCCTGCCTGCTGCTTGCCTGCTTGCTGCCTGCTGCCGCCTGCCTGCAGCCTGCCTGCTGCCTGCCTGCTACCTGCCTGCTGCTTGCTGCCTGCTGCCGCGTGCCTGCTTGCTGCCTGCTGCCGCCTGCCTGCTGCCTGCTGCCGCCTGCCTGCTGCTTGCTGCCCCTGCCTCCTGCCTCTGCCTCCTGCCTCTGCCTCCTGCCTCCTACCTGGTGCCTGCTGCCTCTGCCCGCTGCCTGCTGCCTGCTGCCTCCTGCCTTAAGCCAATATGGCGACGCCTAACGTTCTAGCGTTCGAGCCTAACGGTCGTCCCATCGAGTTCACTGTGTGGTTAGACGATCTCCAGCTGTTCCTTCTGACTGATGCCAAAGAGGGCGTTTCCCTGTTTGATTACGTCTCTGGCACTGCCGTTACTCCTGCTGCTGATGCTCCTGCTCTAGAACGCTCCCAGTGGCAGACTCGTGATGCTGCTGCACGCTTAGCTATTAGGAACCACCTGCCGATTACTGAGCGAGCGCATTTCAGCCAGCACAGAACTGCTAAGACACTGTACGACGTTGTAGTTGCGCGCTACTCCTCCCCGGCCACTGCAGCCATAGGTCGACTCATGCTACCGAAACCTGTTCCCCGATCTTTCCTTGTTCACCACTGCTGAGGACCTAGTTTCTCACCTGCGCGCTACTGACTCTCGCTTTCGTGCCGCCCTTTCAGCCGAGTTCTGCGCCGCAAAACCCCCCCCCCCCCCCCCCCCCCCCCCCCCCCCCCCCCGATGTACTTCACTCTCTATTTCCTCGTCACCCGCCTCCCTGACACTCTTAGCTCTGTCAGGGACCACTTCCTAGCACT